GTAGGCTTTTTCTGATAATCAAATTTAACTGAAGATATTCTACGTCACAAAGTCCGACACAGAGATAAGAAACAGTCAGTGTAATGTAGGTTATACCATCATGAATCTTTTTTGTAATAAACGAAATATTGATAGTATCTCGCATGACAATATTTTTTCGTAACTATTATCGCGACAAAAAGAATTTTTGGGTATAACGATAAAACATGACCAAACGTGAGAATCGTTATATCCAATCCTGACGGCAAATATCGTCAGAAAAAAGAGAGCATGTCAATCAAGTTTAAGTAATAAACTTGAAAATGGAGATTGAACAGTACGATGCCAAACTGACATTAACGAAATTTTTGAATTCTCTTCCGTCATATTGTGTTCTCACTCATTTTGCTCGAAATGACGTCTACACGTAATTTCGGTGATTCTATACGTCTTATCAAGATTTATGCGACGCAATTTTCTTTACACATTTTTTCCAATCACCTCTGCCATGCTGTTGAAAAATCTGGGTCAATAAAAAATATGCTGTTTGCCAACACGCTAGGCGATGTATTGTACAATACAATTACTTAGGTTATTCCATTAACTATGTCATTTGCCTATAATGATTTGCAACGTAATAATATTTTGATTGTAGACATGTATTCTTGTGTCTAATCACATACTCGAGTGATAGAAGACTAGCGATGTCAGTGTTAATGACAATATACAGTTTAGCATACAACTCTTCTTAATATTTTTTCCGTTTTCGTAAATTCTATGTATATGTCTGGACTACTTACTTGGTGACTAATAATATGCTTGTTTTGGGTTAGTTTAATATTTATTGTTTTGCTAAAAATATGTAGTTTTAGAATTTGCCTACATTGCATTTTCTTGCGTTGAGAAGCTCTCAAGATTGAATCTAACGTAAAATGTACGGTAGAAATTATTTTTGCAAGTTGCTTCTATTTTCCAAACCTTTTACAGACATTATGTTTTCTATAGTTAATCAATTTTTATACTAGTACGGTTCTTCGCAAGAAAAATACCATAATTTAGTGATAACGTGCTACGGGCTTTTTTGGCAACTTTAACATCATTAGTTCAACGTAAAATTTATAACATTATAAGACTTGACAATGCTTTTCTTATTCTTTCCTCACTGTACTTTCTGTCATTTTATATATGTCGAATTGTACATTTGTAATTTGGTTTCATACTTTAGTTAGTGTAATATCAAATAGAATGTTTACTGCACCTTCGAACTGGATAGTTACTTGTTGGATAAGAATTAAGTCGGAGTATAGAAGTCAATCAATGACTTTTACGTCAAGAATCTTAGCAAGATAACTCATTGCAAGCTCTAATCGTTTCTGGGCATTTTGTTTTATTTCCTAGAAATGCTTTTCAAATATTTTAGTTAAAATTTGTATTAATAGTTTATGTCCACTTGTTTCCTCTTTTCCTCCTTGACAGAAAATCCAGCACAAGCAAGAATTTTTGTTATGTTTTTTAAGAGTATTGTAATTGAACGTGTCATTATTTAAACAGCCAGAGTATTTTTGTTAACTTTTGAAACAATCGAATGCAGTACTTACGTGTAACATAAGGAGCACCAACTGGTACTAGCCTAGTCTATCAGAATACCTTTTTTTATTGTAACGTAAACTAGACGTCGATAGGTAATTGTAATTTTTTTCTTTCATTTTTTTTTTTTGTTATAAGTCAACTTGTATTGGCTAAATTAAATTTTGACATTAATATGAATTGAATTCTATCAATCAAGGCTATTATTATTATTATTATTTGCTAGGGAGCAAAATTGTTAATAAAGTGTGGGATAAAGAACAAGAGTAAGCAAAATCTATAGATAAACATTATTAATTATACGTGTCTGTATATAGATTATCATGGTTCTAATTGCTCATTTTAGTTTGATCAATTCACATTGTGTATGTTGTTCGTCTAATTATATATTTTACACGCAATCGTGCAGCCGAAAACATGGTTTGAACTAATATTGTTCGCTTCGCCACAATTAGATTAAAATCGGGTATACTATTTTTTCGTATAACTATGTAATTATTACTTAATTTGTAAGCAATTCGTCATTCAACTTTGTAAAATAATAACATGTGTCTTCTCTTTTTGCATTTATTAGTTAACAATTGTAGTCAAATAACCATTTGACAAACATCATGCGCGTTGTTGCGCGAAGCCGCCGTGATAAATTGCCCCACTCTATTCACTTGGTTCGGATATAAAAATTTTACCTCGTGTAGTAGAGTCAGCTCAACAACCAATTTCGGTGAGAAAATTATTTGTCGCAAAAAAAAAAGTGTTACGTTTGCAGCTCTGGTAGACGCAAGTATTTATTCGCTTCTTTGAAACTGGCTTGACATGATAAAAAGATGACACGACGGTTCACTGAAAGTTGCATGCTTACGCCACACCCCTTTTTATTCCATCCTATTTTTTTTATTATTCTAAACGCATTATTACTTTTTTCTATAAACACTTGTTCTACGCTACTCTTGAAAGAAACAAGTTGTTACTCATAAGACTCAGTGGCAAAGGATGACGAATTAACCATCTGCATAACTTTACACAAGACACTAGCTGTGACTCAACATAGTTTGCAAGTACCTTAACTTGGACGTTCAACTCAAATTCCACAATACCTAAATGTTTGTTATGCCTGGCGTTTGTCTCTATCTAATATCGCATAATTCGCAGACTATAGTTTTATGTTCAATGAGCTACAATGCGATCGATGATCGATTATTCAAATCAAGTAATTATTTCATTGATTGCGCTTATCCTACATGTGAAAAACTTTAACACCCCACGTCGTTAGTCCAATAATAATAGCTTGGAGCAAGCGTCTTGGAAAGCAGTATGAACACTTTCTATTACGTATTAGAAATACAGCTAATTTATTTCCGCAAAAAATGTAGTCGGGAACAACAAAACTACATTCACAATGATGCCATATAATAGAATCGAATAAGCCGCTAATAAAAGGACGATTGGAAGTACGTCAATAAGTAACCATGTCGGAACTCAATGGAAACGATCTGTGATGAGATTCGCAGCATACACTATTACTACGAATTTTGCTGTCCGAACTTGTTGCAGTAATATAAAAGACAACAGAATAAATAAAGAGGAGCATAAAACGCTGTCAATGAATACATTCAATGTAAGTTTTATATTCAATACTGATTATCCCTGGAAAGAAATTCTGAGATGACACCATGGCATATATTGAAAGCATAATAAAAGGCTTTGATCGATATAATTTTAACGTATAAGAAAACTTGATTATTATAAACCAATCAAGATTTTGAAACAGAAAACACTTCCAAGTCATCCCACCTAAAGTAAGCTGATGAATGCCTTATTGGAACTTGATATGCAAATTTTTCAGCCCAAGTACAAGGAAGGATACCTTTACCATCACCAAAATGTAAGTCATGTCCACCCCCTAACCCAAAAATAGGAAAACGATCCTTAATATCCCGAATAGCTCTTTGACCATTAACAACAAAACTTACTATACCATTCTCCATATTAGTATTATTTTGTTTAATGAAAATATAAAACTTTCCTCAGTCTCAATATCATAATTTTCTTTGAGACCCCATGAACTTGGATTGTATCCACCAAGTACTTCGTCAGTGCCTGATATTCTCCCAATGGCAATTGTAGGTCCCTTGTTATTACACAATTTTCTAAAATTTTCCACCATATTACCATCTCTACTTTGTCTATAAAGCAGATTAAATTTATATCTGAGGTTTCTTTGCTTAGATATCCCCTGATTTTTTTGAAGTCGCTTTGTTGATTCCACAATCTTTGATGAGATCCATTCTGCTTGTTGTTTATTAATTATGAGTGAATCAATACGCCTCTTTGCTGGTAATGGTGCGTTGGGCCTATAATTTTCTTCGGCATGGTAATCCATTATATCACGGCGCAATTTCCTTGGTAACAAGTCATTGTACAGGGCAATGGACTTAATATTAAGAGAAATGTCAAAAAACTTTATGTGAGGAATGCAATCAGCTATGGTATCTTTAATATTGTTAATGTCATTAGACGACCAATCATCTGGATCGTTTTCGAGACCGGGAGATTGTTTAACAGCCCACTGCACAACTGACATCCAGATATCATCTTCATTCATATCAAGGTCAGGATTCTTGAGAAGGGTAATCAAGGTTTCTTTGGGTAAGTGTGCAATATCCTTTAATTTAAAAAGTATTTCCGGGTTTGAAGCCATAATTCGATTGCAGTAGGACAACAAGCTTTTTGCGAAACCTGCGGATTGAGCATACTTGTGAACTGTGAGAATATTTTGCTGAATCCATTCCTTCTGTGTATTGATCAAATAGTTTTCAATTGCAGCACGAAGATCATATAGCTTAAACATGTTAGCCCCATCCAAGAGGCTAATCCAGCTGATATCCTTGCATGAATCGTAAGATATTCGTCCAGTGTAAATATACCTGTATGACGATTATGTTGGCAGTAGGTGTTAGACATACACATCCCTCTGAGAAACTGTTGACAATACACTTTTTTTACGTTACCTTAACAAGACTTCGAAAACGTCAGGTGTCACATCTTCGAACGTTATAGCTGCCTTTTGAATGCTTTCAGATGTTTCCGTTAGACTTTTCTCAAGAAATGTGCTTCTTGCACATAGTACCGAAGCGTGAGCGAAGAATAATTTGCTGTTTGGTTCCCTTCCAACATGAATCGAAACATCCGTATATTTGCCACTTTCATAAAGCTTTTCAAAATCGGATGAAAGACCTGAGGGCAAATCAACAACAACGTTATTCATTTTGTCAAAGTTGAAGAAGCAATGTGTAACAGTTATGGTAACACGGTGGCACACGTTTGATTGGATTCATAGAGCCACAGCCACAGCCACAGCCACAGCCACAGCCACAGCCACAGCCACAGCCACATTGGCCAAGCCTCACAACTTCGCTTGGATATCCTTTTGAACAATGGACCACTCACTCTTCTTGTTGTTTGGTACTATAAATGTTGATTTGGTGAAGTAAACAAATCTGACCCTTTTACCGCACGGGCTCACGGTAGGCGATGATGTGATTCAATTCAATTTTAATTTGAAAGAAGTTCAGCCATCGAAATTAGTAACAGTACAGCTATGTATCCTATTTTGCTGTGGATTTGACTGTACCGTAAAGAATGGCATATCAGCTCCAAACTCGCTGATGCAAGGGTGGCCAGTAGGTGTATATAATGTTTAAAATATTTTGTGTGTGTTAAAACGATGATATACGCACGTTCCGCGCGATAGGGCAAAGAGGGGTCGGGTCCATCGACAACAGCAGGTTAGAAACAAAATTCAAAATATTATCTCCACTTCCAGATATACTTTTATAGCGTCAGCAATTAATATAGTTGGAGAATGTGTGTGGTTCCATAACAGTTTACGGTACAACCAATGCTTGATTCAATTAAGGATAATGTTATCGTTGACGAAAAAAGGAACGCGAACAAGAATACTTTAAAAGGTTGCAGCAAGTTTTTCCTCCAAACTTGCAGAGAGTATAACTTTTCGTAATCGTTAAATTTAATATGTTATCAAATGCTAGATGTAGCAGTTTATTGGTACAAAGGATAACCATGAAGTTTGACTCTATATTTACCTTATCATGTTAGCTTTCGCCTCTATGTCGATAACAGAATTATTGCAGAACATGTTTTTGACACTAAACGAGCGATCAATTATTGGACAACAGTTCATTCAATGAGATTGACTATGCATATTGTAATTATGTAATTATTTTACTGTTATTCTTGGCTGTGATAGCACGAAAATTTAGACTATTATTACATAACCAGTCTAGTAATTCAGTTTGTGTCTGCTTGATAATTCTATGCTATTAGACCCGAATAGGAAATTTGATATATATGTAAAAATCGAATCAAATTAAATTATCAAGTTCAAACGTGTGCAGACCGTTCTAAGTTTCAAAACGCTCGACTTCCGACTATATTAAGACTGTAATCTTGTATTACGGCAGGCATAACGCAAGCAAACTATCATTATACATTAGCGTCGCGTTTTAAGTAAAAAGTGGTGAATGAACCAGATCCGTTTATGTCAAGGTAAATGAAGCTACAGGTCGTTACTTCTACTGATAAAACGAGAAAAAGGCTCGTTTTCCAAGATTCGACTGGATAATGCTGAAAGCCTTAGAATTGTCTGCAACAATCAATATACATTTTGATAAGTTGATAGTTTTTGTAATTAATAGTAAGAAAATTAATAAAAGTACAAATAACATAATTTATTCATTGTGTTAATGCTTTCGTTAATAAAAATAATCGATCTTACCCATTTAATCGCTTTGGTTGACCAAACATGAATTGAAACCGCCGCGTTATGGTTCCGTCCACTGGTAAGAAAATAATTGCAGTTAACGTTAACGAATTGTAGGCCTAGTTTAAAGGCCATCAACTTGTTGAAAGTACGTTTGACTGAAGTAAAGATCGTCATACAAGCGAATCCATAAACTGTATTCCTATTAGTGTTAGCGTTTTAAATAAAAGATTAAACAAGTATTTGCAGTTAGGCTAGACATTCCTTATAACGACATCAACAAGTACTGCGAGAGCTGATGAAAATGATCTGTGATATAAATGTCAGTATACAACATAGATGTTTCTGTTGACTAGTAGAGGAGCAATTAAGTCAAAACAATAAACAAAGCCAACTGATACACACAACCTCAATTTTTATAAATTTTACTATTGAAGAATACTGAAATAACGTTGACATACTAATACATTTACAGCAAATCAAAGACCATAATAAATGGCGTTGCTTCAACAGATACGAATTCAACAACATAACATGAATATAAAACTAATCAAGATTGAATCAAAATGTTGAAACAGAAAACACCTCCCAATCAGCCCACTCAAAGTTAGCTAATGAATGCCTTATTAAGCATTGGTATGCACTTAGTATTGATCCAGCAGAAGGATTCTTTGTTTCACCATCACCAAAATGTAAATCATGTTTGAAGAAGGACCAACCAAAAATAGGAAAGTAATCCTTGTTATCCAAAATGGCACGTTGAACATTAACAACAAAACTTACTATACTCTCCTCCAATCTATCTTTATTTAATGCAAATATAAAACTTTCTTTAGTCTCAATAGTATAATTTTTTTTGAGACCCCATGAAATCGGATTGTATCCACCAAGTATTTCTTCAGTGTCTGCTACTCTCCCAATAGCAATTGTAGGTCCTTTGTTATTACACAACTCTCTAAACTTTGCCACTACATTACCATCTCTACTTTGTCTATAAAGTAGATGAAATTTATATCTAAGTTTTCTTTGCTTTGATGTCCCTTGATTTTTTTGAAGTCGCTCTGTTGATTCCACAATCTTTGATGAGATCCATTCCATCTGTTGTTCATTGATTATGAGTGAATCAATACATCTCTCAGCTGGTAGTGGTGTGTTGGGTTTATGTTTTCCTTCAGCATGATAATCCATTATATCACGGCGCAATTTCCTTGGTAATAAGTCATTGTACAGGGCAATAGACTTGAGAGAAATGTTAAAAAACTTTATGTGAGGAATGCAATCGGCGATGGTATCTTTCAGTGTGTTAATATCATTAGACGACCAATTATCTGGATCGTCTTCGAGACCGGGAGATTGTTTAACAGCCCATTGTACAACTGACGTCCAGATGTCATCATCATTCATATCAAGGTCAGGATTCTTGAGAAGGCTGATCAAAGTTTCTTTGGGCAAGTGTGCAATATCCTTTGCTTTAAAAATTATGTCCGGGTGTGAGGTCATAATTCGATTGCAGTAGGATAGGAGGTTTTTCAAGGAACCCACGGATTGAGCATAGTTGTGAACTGTAAGGATATTTTGTTGAATCCATTCCGTCTGCGCATTGATCAAATATTTTTCAATTACAGCGAGAAGATCATATAGCTCAAACATGTTAGCACCATTCAAAAGACTAATCCAACTGATATCCTTGCATGAATCATGGGATATTCGCCCAGTGTAAAGAAACCTGTATAATGATGATGTTGACATTAATAACGGCAGCATATTGAAACATACACGTTTCTCTGAAATATTGTTGATGATGCACTTTTTTGCACATATTAATATGAGGTTACCTAAGCAAGACTTCGAAAACATCAGGTGTCACATTTTCGAACGTAATGGCTGTCTTTTGAATGCTTTCAGACGATTCCGCTAGATTCTTCTCAAGAAACGTGCTTCTTGCACATAATACCGAAGCGTGAGCGAAAAACAATTTGCTGTTTGGCTCCTTTCCGACATGAATCGAAACATCTGTATATCTGCCACTTTCATAAAGCTTTTCAAAGTCAGACGAAAGACCTGAGGGCAAATCGACAACGTTATTCATTTCGACAAAGTTGAAGAACAACTTAGCATATGTGTAACAGTTATACCACAGTTATCAATGTGACACACACGTTTGCTGGTCTGCTGATTGGACGTTCATAGGCAGTGAGTTGCGAATTTTTCCTTCCCTTTGACAACGAGAATAGGTGATTTGAGTGCGGATTGCACCCAAAACTGTTCTTTGAACGGTATTAACTACTCCCCGCCCTTGGCAAGTCGGGCACTCTCCAATATCACTAGGAGAGCGGCACCCGTTTGCTGACAAGCATTACAAGCCTTTTCCAGCTCCAACTTACTTTTTTTTTTCGCTCCTAATACTGACTCTTTGAAACTTAAAGTGATAAAGATATCATTGGCAGCCCGGAGTCGGGTTTTATTATTACAACACAACATATAACAACACTTCGCTTGGAAACATTCTTTTGAACAATGGACCACTCACTCCTCATGTTGGCGAAGTAAACAAATCTGACCCTTTTACCACACGACTCACGGTGGGCGATATATGATTCAATTCAATTTTAATTTGGAAGAAATTCAGTCGTCGAAATTAGTAACAGCACAGATATGTGTCCATTTTGCTGGTGGACTTGACTATAATGTAAAGAATATTTTGACATATCAGCTCTAAACTCGCTGATGCAAGCGTTGCCAGCAGGTGTATATAATGTTTATAATATTTTGTGTATGTTAAAACGATGATATACGTACGTTCCGCGATAGGGCAAAGAGGGTCCATCGACAACAGCAGGTTAGAAACAAAATTTGAGACTTCCAAATATCATTTTCACCTTCGATTCCAGATATACTTTTATAACATCAACGATTAATGTAGTTGGAGAAATGCGTGTGGTTCCATAATTAATAGTTTACGGTACAGCAAAGCCGTCTTTACCAATATTTTATTCAATTAAGGATAATGTTATGGTTGACGAAGAAAGAAACCCAACCAAGTATCTTATCAGAAAGCTACTAATACTTTAATGTTTCCTCCCTCCCATCTTTGTGTGGTCTATTACTTACATTATTGCATAAACTTGCAGAGAGTCAACATTGCCCACTTCCATTTTGTAAACTGATAAGAACTTTGAAAAAATTTCTAATTTTAGTACCTTGTTTCTTTAAATATTAGCACGTCTGTTACTTAGCCAACCTTGTTTGTCTAGCTACTTTATAAGAAGTATAAGCGTTTATCGTACATTTGTTGCTATGCTACTTTTGAAAAAAGGGCTGTTTACTCAGAAAACTTTTTATTGTTAACAAAATAATGACGAATTAACAGTTACATACGGCATGAAGGATTGCCATTATAAATTTCGTAATTGTTAAATTTAGTACTTTATCAAATATTAAATGTCATGACCATGACTTGAATTTTTATTAATACTTACCTTACTATTACTATGTCTCTATGTCAATAACGTAGAGTTATTGCAGAACATTGTTTTTGACACTAATGAGCTCTAATGCAATCGATTATTTGATAATTATTTTACAACAGTTCGCTCAATAAGATTAACTATACACATTGTAATCATGTAATTGTTATTCTTGACTGCAGTAATATGAGAATCTAGATTATATTACATAAGCAGTAATCCAGTTTATGTCTGTTTAATAATTCTATGCTAGTAGACCTGAATAGAAATATATCATGTAAAGATTGAATGAAATCAAGTTCAACGTGCAAACCGTTATTCTAAAGTTTCAAAACGCTCGACTTTCGACCATATTAAGAATGTAATCTTGTATCACGGTATAACGCAAGTAAATATATTATTAGCGTCGCGCTTTAAAGTAAAAATTTACTATTGGTGTATGAACCAGGTCCGATTATATCAAGCTAAATGAATTAGCGTGTGTTTTTACTGTCCGTGCCTAAAAATTGCTAAACTGTCGCAACAACCCAAAAGTACTTGCAAATATTGGTTATATATAGATAGGCCTCGCCGTACGTAGAGGCTACAGAAACGAGGTCGTTGCTTCTACTGTTGCGGTCGGCAATTGTTTGGTTGGGAGAGCCAATTAAATTTTGAGCGTAGGCGTGTTCACCGACCAAGAAGTTGGTAATTTTAGACTCCGCAGTTCACTGCCCAGTGATGTTGTTTTGACTGAATGCTTCGTCTACAAGTGACCTAATTTATTAATTTTCGTACGCTTTTCTCGCTCCTTATACGATGTACTTCCTTGTACTCGTATCCGGATAAGGGTAACCGTATGTAAATTATCAACAACTATAATTTACGACGGAATCGAAGGGGAATATTTGTTTCTATTTTTATTACAGGGCAGGTCTTCGATCCGGTGTATTGACTAGTCAGTTTATCCGTCACTTGTTTCTTAAACTAATTAAACAATTAAAATCTATTATCGACGCGCTACAATAATTAACTAGACTCGCTTTCCGTTATTACGTACTCGTTCAACGGAAAGTTTCGCAAGCCTGAATGGGCTCTGACCTTTTCGCCTAAGGGCTATGTAGGTATTGTCCGGATTAATTAGTTAAAAATTCAAGCGAAGATAACAATAGGAAGAAATAAGATATACAGGATTTAAAATAATATTAAATAAATAAGCTACTATGAATCTAAATTATATTTTTCATTTTTAAGCTTTTTTGTTGCCTGGACGTGCTTTGTTATGCTGCAATCGAGCAAGCACTCTCAAATTATGTCCATTGCTGATGTAAGCACTCTCAAATTATGTGCATTACTTATACTGACTCTCGAGCTTTGCTTGGAATTCTGAAATGTTGAAACTCATTCCTGCCAGATCTACTGGGAGCTCACAGGCTTCAATCTCAAATATTCTGTAAAAACCCAAAAAAAGTTTATGTAAGCTCAGTAAACAATGCAATATATAATATATATACACTGTATACAGTAGTAATCCATAAAGTAGAAGTGCAAACTTGTCTCAAAACTTTGGACCATGAAGGCTCAAAAGAATGTTGGTAGAGCCCTTTTCTGCTTGACTTCTTGAGTTACTGGAAATGGATTCTGAACTGAGACAACTGAGTTCTGGACTGAGTGACTGGGTTCTGAACTGAGACAGGTCCCAAACTCAGACACAACATTAATCATATCTTTTGTGGCACAGGCATTTTGGATAAAATCTTGTGTTTCTTTTCCGTTCTCAGTATCGTAAAGTTTGCTCCCTTCGACCACGCATATTTCGTAAGGCTTCTCATTTGACATGTAGGCAATACCATCTACTCTATCTGACCCTCGTCGATAAACTTCATCCGTTCCATCTTGTCACTGAATGGCCATAAGGTGACCCCTTGCTTTAGCAAAATCCCATGAGCTCCATAAACGAGACGGATCTGCATTCCTTGGCTTTAATGTTGTCTTCCCACTTTGATTCGACACAATCAGAAACAATAGCTCGAATTATGGCGTAATAAGATTTACAATAATCTTTAAAATTCCTTTCATTTCTTCTTTCAAGCCCCCCACCCGTGTAAATTGAGGAGTAATGGCCCGCTTCGAACCTCTTAATATTTAGAGCTGATTTTCGTTGAGACATTCATTGTAAAGACGTAGAATGCGTTCCTTTAGGTTATCTGTTTCTGTGGGTCGGGTGATTGTTTCCACTACTTCCTCGTTTCCTGATCGCACTGTAATTGATTTTTTGGTATGCAGATGCCTTTATTGCTTTATCACCACTAGCAAAGTACAAAAGAGAAAGTTGTTTAGGTACATATGCAATCGGGAACAATTTTCACTTATGCTTATATCGCAGGTTCACAAATCTTCCAAGCACACAGTGCGGTTACTTACAAGATAGGAAGAACCTCAAACATGAAACTCTTTATATTTTTAATAAATGGATCATGTTCTGGATCCAGCAATCTCTCGATCTCCTTATGTAAAAGTGCAGTTTCGTTTGTTTAGGTCCGTATAGGAGTACCTGTTCTTCTACTTGGAATTTTACCGTTTGTTTGATGTGCTTGTTGTATCTTGCCTTGACTGCTCCAAACTGTGCCTATTTATAACTTTTGGTGTCGCTTCAGATGCTTCTAATATTTTGGTCTTAGTCTTATGCATTTACGTCATAAAATGTCATTTTTTTCCGACATTTCCTTGTTATTGTCTGGTACAATATGCTATATTTAGTATCACACTCTGATAAAACCAACCAATCAATGTAAAGCAGTAACAATTACGCAGCTATTTAGAAAATAAAGTTTCCGCTTTTCGATGCAGACTATAAATAATACTACGATATATGTACCAATAATGTGTAAACTCTGCAGAACGATTACACTTTGAGGAGGTTTTTATTCGTTATTGTTGCAACTTTGATAACTATTTTCGAATTAGCAATCATATTCTCAAGCCATGCATGGTTTAAGAAAATGTATTAATGTTAGTTTGGCGTAATAAATATGTTCAACATTCCGGTTTAGTTTGAAAAACGATGACGAAACTCTAATAATTTTTGGGCAAGTGATTTTTTGGTTTCCCGCAATATACGAATTTCTCATGCAAGTAAAAAACCTCATTTATGTGCAAAGCTCAAAATTATTGGGCGAGGTGCTCATTTCTTTTCTATCAACATGTTTTTGTCATATTATCCGATTTTACTTGCTATCATTTAATTCTGATCACAATCGCCGCTTTGTAGGTACCGATTGCTTGCGTAATAGTCGATCCAACAAAGTCAGAGATTCTTGCTGAATCATATGATACCCGCAATACGTCAAACCATCCGCTACGACATGCAGTGTTGAATTGTATCGCTGCAATTGGATCTCGGGAGAAAGCTGACAAGGCAGCACTTGCCATAGTATCAGCGAAACGGAAGTCCGACGATATTTGCGAGTCGGATGAAGTAGCAGAAAACATCGGGTCCTATTTGTGTAAGGGATACGATTTGTTCGTTACGCATGAACCGTGTGTTATGTAAGTTGAGCGACGAATGCGAGGGGAGGGTGGGAGTCTGAGGATAGATAAGATCGATTAACCAGTATGTAAAATACTATATAAGGTGTTCGATGTCTCTTGTACATTCACGGATAGGACGTGTTTTCTATGGACGTAATAGCGTTTCAGGCGGATTGGGTACTTGTTATAAGATACATACACATACAGCGCTCAATCATCATTTCAGAACGTTTGGTGGATTTCTCGAAGAACGCATCGAGCCTGTGGACATTGATTGTTAGCATACCAGTATCTTTAGAGTCAAGTCCCGGATTCGGCTAATATCAACTCTCAAGAATATCGTATGGATTGCATGTCCTCCATTATGTCATATTATTGTACATTGGGTTGTGAAAAATTATAGTCCGTGCAAAGTTTAACATCTGTAAAATACGCATCGAGAACTAGCCCGTGACATGGGCTGTAATTTCGTATAATGTTTCCTAATACACGTACTAATGCACCGGTTTTTCGCTTGAGTCTGCCTACACTAATAGCTGTCAACTATAAAATGGACACTAAATTTTGTAACATTGTGAGAGAAATTTTCCGAATCGGATTAAAAGACTTTCTTTTCCGTTGAGTTCACACGGTCATTGGGCGATATGCCTCTTCTGTAGACTGATTCGGCGTGCCGCATGTCATCTAGGACAATGGATTTCATCCCCGTATAATATGCGAGAAGCACACACGCTATCGATAATTGCTAACATTGTAGCGATAATAGCTGAGTAGTGATAGTCGAGATTAAATGGGTGCGCGACCAACCTAAACAATTACCTTATGAATAAATCAATATGTCGAAATTACGACACAAATGTATAAAAGCCTGGCATACAATGTTATTGGACAGTCTTATTTTAAGTTGCATTTTAAATTTGTGCAAGACAAATATAACTAATGTTCAATTGATTGCGATAAAATCTTTGCTTGAAGTATAACACATTTGTATTCAATATAAAATTATCTTTATATAAAAAATTTTAATATAAATTAATTTACATCAAATTTACCATGGTGGCCAATGAATTAATAGAAAAACTTGTTCCGTTCGTTTTTAAAAGTAAAACCAATAAACGATTATTAATACCAGCTTATAATAAACCACGAAGAATAGAGAAGATTTGTTTACGGAACAATTTATTTTTATTGTTCTAATGATATACATAATACTAAAACCATAAGTCAAATTAAATAAAACTTTTGCAAATGTTTTTTACTTTTTAAATGTGTGGCACTTTTAGTTTTATAATTAGATATTATTCTATGGTACGCACATAATTATTTCGATAAAAAAATTAAACTTATATTTTCGTTCAACGTTTGTTAGTAGTAAAATTGAGAAAAGCTCTAAAGTCTTCCGCAAAACCATATCAAGTCACTTGTCTGGATTGTTGCGCTCGTTTTTAAGAGTTTTTTTGATTAACCTCTTCCGCTTCTTAATTATTCGATGTGCCTAGATCTTTAAAAAAAAAGAGAGGGTGGGGGGTAAGAACGAATTCCTAACAAGGGAGTGAGTGAACGAATCATGTTTGAAAAGCATCGAGGCTACCCAAAGAACTATACTTAATAAATATACCACACAACGCCCAACCGGAACATGCCAAACTATCCA